TATACAAAACACTCTAGAAAATCTGATTGCTTGTAGAGACTGGAATCTCAAAGGATAGGAAAAAACCTCCCTTTCCCTGCCTGCACCTGAACCACACGGACTGCTAAACTTAGTCCTATTTTGATTTCATTTATACATGTGGGATCATTTTTGTACACAATAAAAACAGAAGGAAGCTTTACTGCTTTCATGCTAGTGAAAGCAGGAACTATGACTGGTCAACCAATATACAATGACTATACCAGAATCCACTATTAGGTGCCAGCTTGAGTATAAGGAGTACATATTCAGTGCAAAAATTGGTCTAGAATTCTTTTCAAGAATAGTTTCAGATCTAGATTTATTTGGCCTACATCATAAAAAAGGGGATGAGTGCTGCAATACCCTCCCTGGAGGAAGCTCTGTCAGTAGCTAAACAGTTCCTGGACCTAGCCACAGTTCTCCCACAATGACAAAAAATGCTGGCCTGCCACCCTCCTTCTTCCCTATCATCCATCATTGAACCACTAGCCTCTCCTCATTCTCTGTCACAAGCAGGGACTTAGTATCTGCAAATACTATACAACAGAAGACTGAATTTCAGGCAGTTCATTAATCCTTTCAGAGCTAACATGAAAGTTGCATGCTCCCTCAAACAAGGACTTGAGGTAGATACTTGCAAAGCAAGTTTCACAAAATTTTATGTATTAGAAGAAAGCAGGAATCCCAGATGTTCCCAAACAAACTGCAGCTATCCTAGCACGTTAGACTCACAAAGGTGGCAAGACCTTCCTGTAAGCCTACATCCTAGCTTGGCTTCTAGCAAGCTTAAACATAAAAATTCTTTCAAAAAACACACTACCATTCGTCTGAATGCAGTTTGGGTCTCTTCCCATTCCCATATATATTCCTCCTTCTCAACCGTCCTTAACTCTTTTTCTGGCTCAAAACCTTTATTCAGTTTGTAACAAACTGCAGATAAAGAAGTAGCCTATCATGATGTTTTATCCCAGTAATTTATGTCTGAGACATCATTCTGTACTGAATTTCCAGTCACACCCATCCTAATGATTTACCTGTGATTATCCCCATTCCCTTCTCTCAGATCCCTCAATAATTCATTAAAGAAAATATTCCATTTTAAATAAAGACTTTAAATTCAAAAATTTCACCTCAACTACCACAGATTTTCTGATCACTGCTCCTTAAACCTTTAAAAGCCTTTAAAGCCCACTCAAGTCCATCTCCCACTCCCTCCATCTCTAAGAAACCTCTCAGCTGTCTTCAGAACTTTGCAGGATGCTGCCCTTACATTACTGTACTATAGAAACATTTTATTACTATACTATAGAATCAAAGAATCCTAGAAAGGCTTGGGTTGGAAGGGACTTTAAAGATCATCTAGTTCCAGTCCTCCTGCCATGGGGGCCTTCCACTAGACCAGATTGCTCAAGGCTCCAGTCCAACCTGGTCTTGGATTATATTATTTATTATTGTATTTCTTTCATTTCTATTACTGTATGAAAGACAAAAAGGGCACTGGCATTGTTTTTGTATTTTTAAATTACTATTTTTCAAACTGTCCTTATGAAGAGATGTTTCATACATGAATGCTTGGTCTGTATCCAGTAATTTTATAAAAGGTATCCATTTAATGACACCATTATCATGTCACTTAAAGTGCCTTATGTAAAATTCCTGGATTAGCACACTGGCCTTTCATCTCAGGGGTCCAAATGCAAAACTGAAAAATTACTTTCATGCTCTTAGCCTTGCAGACAGACATTATGAATTCTCAGTACAATTTGGCTTAAGTGACCATTTTTCCTTGGGGGAGGGATAAGTGTTGATTAAAGCAGCATGTGATTTTGGGCCAGAAAAATAGATGGAATAAAGATGCAAGAGCATCTTGAAATTTTCATGCCCAGTCTTAGATCTGAGCAATCTAAAATCACATCTTCCTTTTGTCATATTTCTTCCAATTAAAAGACACTATACAATCTCTTCAAGAATTGCTGGAAAATATTCATCTGCAATATGTATTGACTATGTACACAATACTTTTGAACATCATCTGACCTGTGTGTTATGAAGTTCACAGCTGTTGTGGAAAAAAAAAACTACAAGTCTCTGTTTATACACCTTGCATACAACATCAAGTGCCTAAGTCTTCTGTTTACCATGTAAGAAATCTAATAGACTTGTGTTTATATTGAAAAAATCTTTGGTCTTTTACTGTAAAACAATGTCTTGAATGCACTATAACCTTTCAAATCTAATTTTGTAAGTACTTTTAGAGGAGTATGAAGTTATTAATACAAAAGATAAAAACATTTACTCTGAGTTGGATTAAGTATATGTCTAGTCTATACATACTATATCAATCTGGGTGTGATAGCATTCAATATACATAATTCCCCATGTTCATTAAGCATGTAATTTTCCCATCTGTGTTACAAGACCCCTTGGAACCTAAACAAGACTTGGTAGCTTTAGTTAAAAATATATCACTTAAGAATAAAACACATCAACTGTGATAAGTACTTCACATCAGACTTTAACACAAAGTATAAAACAACTTTGGACAAAGCATATTAGACATTTTGAATGAAAATGAGAAAACCTAAGTCCTTAAGAAGTTGGCAGAACAGATTAGCACACTGACAATGCAAAATTTTACCTTTTTGTAAATGGAAAAAGACTTGCAATTTTTGCAGTAATGTGATTCAACTAGACTTCTTACACAATTACCTACTCCATGAATTTAAGAAATAATTCTTTGTAATGACTGATATGCTAAAAGAGTATTTCATGAGCTAATACTTAAGTTTCTCTTGACTATGCAGTGCTAATGTAAAAATCCTACTTTTCTAGGTCCTTCAAGTGCAACAAAAAGTAGAAATTGCACCACCACATTAAGTCAAAGGTTCTAATGTCCATGAGAAACACAAACAAATTTACACATGCACATATGTCAGTCACCCCTTACCAGCATGGCTCTTTCCTGCCTACCTTCCTGCCTTCCTTTCCTCCAGTATTCCAGTTCTAGAAATTAAGGCATTGCCACACAAATAACAAAGCCCCTTCTGTAGAGGGAAAACATACTTTCAGAAGGAATTCTACAAGCCTAGATACAACCACCACAAGCCTTAACAAGCCTATTAAATTTGGCACACAGTGAGACCTCAGTGAGGACACATGCCTTCAAGAATTTTTTGAAACAGTGTGCAACCCAATAGCTACCTACCTAAGGCAACACCCTATGCTACTTCCTCCTACTGCTTCCATTAATTTTATTTTGGGCTTACAAAGTGCATAGATAAAGAGAAGTAAAGCCAATAACTGTTGGCAGCTAATTTGATAACAGCATGAAAAAAAAAGAGAGAGAATGTGCAAAAATTATCTTACTGTGAATTTGTCAAATAACTCCTGTATTTTCTCAGAGAATTATTATCTTCCAACATAAAAAAAAATAAAAATCAATCCACTGAAATATATACTACAGTTAAAACTGAGTTTCCCAGCCTTCTGAATGCTAGATTGAGTGAAGTTACACCTCTCCCCTCCCACACAGCACCAAGTACTGCTGTGTGCATACCACAGGAGTCTAACACAACTACACACTGCAAGAACAAAGACCTTCCTCTCCTAACATACAATTAACAAAACCCAGACAAAAATACAATAACTATGACAACTCAAGAGCTGAGCTCTGAAGGGGTGCTAGGGGGACAAAGAGAGGACTGGGAGGTAACCACAAGATTGAGAGGATGAGAGCTGAGAAGCCACAATTTCTAAAGGGGTATTTTTGAGAAGTGTAACAGAGATATTGCAAATTGTTAGATAACGCTATGTTAGCACTGTGCACATCTTGCACATATCTAAATGTTAAAGTTTTTATACCAGAAAAATAGTATCTTATCATGCTAGTAAAACAGCAGCATAATCTAATCTGTACCAATCAATCCCAATTATGTTCACAGGTTGCCCCCCCAACTCAAACAATGAAATAAGATAAATTAACACCATATATATCACAAATCGATAAAAGTTATGTGTTTATATACTTCTTTAGACCCAAAGGACTAATGCCATAAATATATGCTGCATTCCGCATAAACTGCTCATGAGAACCATTTAATACTGTAGCAATATTTCAGTGAACTTTCATTTTTCACAATGCTGGTACATTAAAAAGCCACTGAGTAACAGAAGAGTCTATTAACAATGAGTTAAGCACATTATGCAGCAATGAGGTTTTGAAAAATATCTACACATTTACAAAATAAATCAAACTAATTAATAACTTACAACTTGTTTGAAATAACTTCTCATAAGTTAACATATCTGGCTCAGCAGAGAGTCATATTTCTGTACTTCATTTCCGTGTGTATTTTTAACTTCACAGATAGCCCCAGCGCATTGAGTTACACTGGGCAATCCTAGTGCAACACAGATGTAATCATTTTGCACTGCTTACACTTTTTATTGAGAAAACAAAAAAAAGGCGAGCTACAGTGGCTATGGAAAGAAACTGTACAGTGTCACCCGGGTTCCCCAAAATACATGATGGGCCATCCACTATAAAGGCATTAGCCAGAACAGGTCAGGAAAAAGCACATTGTGTTTAAGGCTGATGCAAAACCTGTGGAAGCAGACTCCAGTAATTCCTTATTAGCAACAGTATCGTAGCCTTCAAAAGAGGCATATTTTAAAGCAATCATGACACTTTAAAAACTATATTAATCTGTAAGAAAAATAATTTCCTGCATAAAGTACAAAATTATAGTTACAGGGAAAAGAGCACCAGTAAAAAAAAATCCAACTATGGACACATATATATTTATGAGAAAACATACTTCACATAATAAAATCAAAATTTCTACATTTATCAGAAAAGAAACATTATTATTACATTAGAGAGATTTAAGAAAAGGTGAAAAAATAAATACAGCCATGTTTAAACATTGTTATCAACCCACACTAATGTCAGAATTAAAAGACTGATTTAAATGCCATACCCTTTTCTGCAGAGTTATTGGCATAACTGCAGGCAATGTTACTCTTCTGGAAGACAAATTCATGTCTGCTTTTCACAGAACTTGCCAACCTTCATCCAGGTGATAACACGAAGCAGAACAAAGTTGTTAGCAATATTTCTTGAAACCTAATTCCTCATAACCTAAATATTGGAGAGTCAGCACAAAGACTAAGGCTCTAGTAAATGTCATTCCATTTATGTGAATTCAGTCCTACTCAAAGCCAATGACAGAACACACTGGGGTAGGACAAAATAGAAATCAACCAACCAAAGAGCTTGAAAACTTGTGTTCTGTCCTTGGAAATGCCCACACTATCTCTGCCTATAAAAATAAGCAGAACAACATGCATTTCTATCACTCAGAGCTTTGTCTTTACTGTCAAAACAAAACCAAATCATTAAAGACTGCATTCTAACACCTCACACTGAGTGGTTACAGTCTTGGGGCTTTTTCTCTGGCTTTTTCCAGGGAAACAAAATATTCTTCAGTGCTTCTGATCTTTGAGTTTCAGAGAAGCAACGGAGCATAAGAATAGATTTAATGAATCCATGGAGTTTAATTATATGATTCTTAACTACCGTTATTCAAAGCAGAAGCAAAACATCCCTTTTACTTTAAGTAATGCAATTACTACCTTTCCAATGCAACAAAGGCCTGAAAAAGTGACACATAAAATGTTACAAAGAGTGACATTTAAGACATTTTATGAACCCAAGTTTTTGATCACTCCCATTCATATAAGTATTTTATGTATCAAATATCTGCATTAAAAAAATCTGTTTTCATTAACATGGTTTGACAAAGGAAATCTGGGTTTTTCTTTCCTTCTTTGTCAAAAAAGGCAACATTTTGTATTTCTTAAATGATAAGGCAAGCTATAATTTTTTAAAGGTCTCATAATGCACTTAATACCAGAATTTTTTTCCTGCTTTTATGCAGCATGACTAAGCAATATTCCTGTTGTAAACCAAATTATTAAACAGATGTTAGAACTGTGATATTGAGTATTTCTTTTATAACTCTTGACCAAGCAGTTCTTATCAGAAACATTGCTTTTCATAGCTGAAGATTGCAGACAATTTAAGAGAACTATTTGTATTAACCATTCATAGCTTTTTGAAGAATAACATATCAGATATGCAGCCTGTTTTACTTCATAGACAATCACTGCAAGTATATTATTGATCATACACCTGATGTATAGGTCCTAAAAGTAATCAGGACTGACTTGGTAAATATTACTATAATCCATACTAAATTTCACTAGAACATATTTATAGGTTTGGGATTTCCCCCCCCCCCACCGTGGAAATAAGCACACTCATTATTAATCCCAAAGTATCTAGAAAAGAATCTCATCTCCAAGACATAAGAAACTGCACAACGACAAGTTAAAAATAAACAATTTTATTGCACGGGATTTTCTGATTTGAGAGTTTTCCAGGTGGCAAATACATAACAAGTCCCTGGTACCACTGAGATACCTCAGAATCTATGAATTTAAAGCATCTCTTTTCACGCTAAATCACCTTTCTCAAATCCTAAAATCAGTAGTACTGAAGTAAGTCCTGTTGATGAACAAGAGGAGCACACATTATAAATACAAAAAATACAGTTCCCTCCAAAAACTAAAACCTGCATTGCACTGGCATTTTACCAGCAGCTCTCAAATAGTAATAAAATACTGCCAAGGAATAGGAAGTAAAGATAAATATTTTCCTAAAATTTCAAAACCTGTTGTCCTTGATTGAGACACACAGGATGGAAAAAAACTGATGAGAAATTTATGCCAAGTCACAAAGAGAATTTCTTTAGAGACAGACATTTGATCCTCGTTGTTAGCCTTAAAACAAGAGCTTCTACTAAAACCATAAACCAATTAAAATACAGCATTATTATTAAACAACCCATTTCCTTGCCTCGTAATGAAGGTTCACTTTTAACTTTGACTCCTTTTACATTCAGTTTATAGCAGCAAGAGATCCATAGCAACTAATCTTTTAGGTTTAAGGTATTTATTTAATTTTATTTTCATCCAATTGCAGTCCAAAATCTTTATGATTGTTTTGATAAAATAAAAAAGTACTTCTGAGATGAAGTTTAAAGCATTAATTACGTAACATTTGGAATTAACATTCCTTTTTACTAGAGATAGATATGATAAATGTCAAGTGTTTGCAATTAGGTTTTTACCTTTCAGGCACACACAAGTTTTTATTTCCTGTGGGAGCATGTTTTCAAAATTCTGTAATATAGCTCCAAAATTTTGCTGCAAGAGCCAGAAAAAAACTTGTGGTACCAGAGCCCAATCCCACAGGCATTTTACTCAAGGAATATTAGACATGCACATAATTGCAGCACCAGGACAAAAAACTCCCTCTACTCTTTTTCCCTCGGATCTTATGAAAAACTGTTTGGGCAGTAGCAACTGTAGAACTTGCAGCATTGCATTAGTGACTTCACTGGGAAAGAAACAAAAATAGCCCAAGCCATTTTTCCTTACCCCTGGGTACTGAAGGTCCTTGGCTCTTGAAAGAATGTGCAGCTTTTTGCTCTATGAATAAAATTGACCCATTTGTCTGCAAGGTGAAGCAAAGGCTCATCTTCTTCAGTGAAATTATCTGTATTGTATCTTTTCCAATCAGATGAACAGACCAGACCCATTCAGAAAGTAACCAAGTGTTGCATTTGACTTGGTAATAAAAATCCAATATTCAAATAATGATTAGGTTAAAAAAAATTTACAGTAATTTATGTATACTAGTGAAAGTAAACATGGCTGCATCCAAGAGTACTAAAAATAACATTAAGAATTTTTTTTTAAATTTCACAAACACATATTTAAGAAAATAAATGAAATAAAACACAACTTCTAAGTGCAAGCCTTGCAGAATCACTTCACCATGTAAAAGTCAAGAGGAGTTCTACTGATAAATGCGAGATACAGAAAGGCTTTGAAAGCCAAATATGCCTTCAGGGAAACATATATGACCACTTTATTTTTTTTTCCTATAGATAAAAGATTTTACTTGTCCATGGCAGGTCTGCAAGGAATTTGCTGGTGCTGGTAGACAGGAAGGAAATCAGATCCAGCTCACTTGCTGAAATGGCTATGTTTATGCAGCTTTTCACTCCTATTTTTGTCACTAAGCTACCAGATACAGTTGTGAAAACATTGTGCAGATACTTTTTAGATACTTCAAAATATAAACCACTTCTACTTCTTGCCACTTAAGAAAGCGTGACTAAATGGAGTGGGCAAGAATTGAAATGCCCTTAGTAAATCAGTAACTCCAATAAGGGTTTTGTAACAACATATGGAATAGAGATATCCTGCTAGAAGAGGAAGGTCAGTGATGTCCTTAAGGCACTGAATATGGAGTCACAAGAGCTGATCTATTCCTAGCTCGGCCAGATATAATGCAGGAATGTGAGCATTTATAGGTAGCAAGAGCAAATCAGATTCAGCTTTTGCTTCTGTAGATAAAAAAGAAAAATCCAGATAATACAAATCCAGTAAGGTTTATAAAATTTTTGGTGCTATTTTTTGTACTTGCCTTTGAGCTCAGGCAGTAGTTTATTACACAAGACCAAGGCAAATCAGGTAAGTTATTCATGGTGCTATTTGCCCTTCCTTGTGAGAGCTCCTGTCTGCCTGGCACAGACACTTTGTCTATTCAGCAGAAGAGCCCTTTAATATGTGACCATAGAAACACACGCAGGCTGTTTTTTGCACAGGTGCATTTACATACACTCGACAAATAACTACTTACTTTATAACCACCCCAAAAAAGAGAGGTTTCAAAGTGACTGAGGTGCTGTTTTTCTACTCATATAGTCCCTTGCACAAAAAAAACCCGAATAGGTCTTAGCCTTCACACAGAGCATACAGTACACCCTTTTGGAGGGTGAATAAGGACTGGTGCAGATGCAGTTGCACTAAAACAGACTGTATTACCTGTAAAGCAACACAGACATTACAAGGTACCCAGGAAATTCACGAAGTCGGAGCCACAAGGAACATAATGAAGCTTTCCATCCTTGCCAATTTTCCTCACAAACTGGGGGGATCTTAAAGCAATGTTATACATGCTACTTGCAAAGCTTTTCAGCTGCCTATTTTTGTGATCAATAGGTTCAAGCCTGATAAAAAAGCACATTGATGAAGCTCTGTCAGCTGAGTTAAGAAAACCCTCGTATTGCATGGGCTTCCCTCTCACTACATAGCAGTGAATTCTAGCAATTATGAGAATAAATTCTTACAAACTTCCAGCCTGTTTCTCAACAGCTGATACCATTTCTGTGTCATTATCAAGAGCTTGCAGCTGTTCATAAACAGCAAGTCTTAATGTAATCAGTAACAGGAGTTATCATAACATAACTAATATAAAAAGGCTATTTATAGCCCAAGAATGCAGTAATTGAAAAATCCCATTCTGATCACAGGACAATCTCGTGTATATTGATTTCCTGTGGATATAATATCAAACAAAGCTAAAAGACAAACCTACCAGTATGCAGTATAAGCATATCAGAAACAGGCAGGAACACCTCATCAGTATCCTAATTAGAAGCACAGGCAGACAACTGAGATAACCGATATATGTTTCTCTCTTGAGACTTCAGTATTAAATATCATGTACACTATTGGGCTAAAATATGAGCTGATTAGCTGCAAATGAATGTTCTGTGACTTGAAACAGGAGAAAAGCAACTCCACATTGTTACTAGAGCAGAGGTCTAATTTCTTCTCCCTCTTAATTTCTCCTCCCACAACTGCCCTTCTTGAAAGATTTTTGTTGGCCTGATTAGCATTTTTTTTAAATATTCCCATCTGAGGTGACTCCCATCAGGACTATAACATGAGAGGCATGCTTAAATACTCCAGCTTGAAATTCTCCGTTTCTGCTCAATCCCAAATAAGAAGCAGTCATGAAAGTGTGAATGCCTTTAGAAGTAGCAGCTTTAAATATGCTGAAGACAGAGAACATGGGCATTGGTCAACTGTTATCACTGCCACATTTCACCACTAGCTAAAGATACATGTGCCATCTTCT